GGGGGGGGGACTGGCTCTGCTGGGCATCCACAGGGCTCGGGCACGTTGTCAACCCCCACCTGCCTCACCCTGTGTCAGCCCAGACACCCTTTGCTTTTTTTACTTCTTTCACCCTAAAATAACGGTGCTGGCGGAGGGGATCTGCAGAGCAGGACAACAGCGGGCTTCGCGCTGGCCATGGCTGCGTGGGGTCACCCCTTCTCCCCTGGGGGACGTTCAGGGCCGTGTGGGTCCCTGCAGTCACCCAGAGTGGCCCTGTGCCCGTACGGGGGACACCCAGCGGTGTCCGGCCATGGGGTGAAGGGGATGCTCACCAGGCAAGGGACAGACGGCGGGTGATGGCAGCCCACACTCACACCCACTGTGCCCCCGTGGGCAGAGGGGATGGGGACAGCAGGAGGGTGGGTGACAGGGGGTCCCCGATGGGGGAAGCTGGCAGCCAGCACTGGTGGCAGTGGGGTGGCTGCTGGCAGCCGTCACTCTCACCTGTGTCTTCTCTTCTTCCGCGACCCCGACTCAGACCTGAGGGATGAAGAGGAGGCAGAGCTGAAGGAGACGTGCTGAGCTGGCCAGAGGGGAGCGAAGGGATGGGGACAAGGGCAGGGAGGGTGGCCCTGAGATGGGCTGCTGGATGGGGCAGGTGACAGCTGCTGTGAGGAGGTGATGACCCCATGAAGAGCCGTCAGCATCCATCCCTGTCCCTGCTTCCATCCCACCCCGGCCCAAGGACCTGGGCAGCTGCCAACCTGCCCTACTGTCCCCAACCAGCCCCGGTGTCCCCAACCAGCCCCTGCTGTCCCTCCTACCTGTCGCGTCTGTGTTTCTTTCCAGTCTTCTTTTTCTTCTCCTTGCGGATGGGTGAAGAGCTGTCGCAGCTGGGTGGGGGGAGGAGAGTGGGTGCCCTTGAGGGGGGGGAAGCAAGGGACCCCCTATCCCCATCCCCATGGCCCGGGGGAGCCCCATCCTGCCAACCCCCCAGCACCCTGCTTCCCCTGGACCACCCATGGGATGCGTGAACATCCCACGGAAGTTATTGCCCGGGGGGATTTGGGGTGGGGGACAGAAAGGGGCTTTTGACAGAAGGGGTCTGACTGCCTTCGGTGCCGGAGCTCCCAAATCCCCCTGTGTCCCATTG